ACTCTTATGGTCTCACGTAACCTTATTTCCTCCTTATGGCTATCTCTCTAAATACAGAAACACTGAGGGCTAGGGTTTCAGCATATAAAAAAAACTATAAGACAATTGGAGAAATGTGATCAGTAACTGAATACTGATGGTATTAAGGGATTGTTGTTAATTTTTTGTAAGTGTCCTAATGGTATTTGGGTTACGTCCTTTAGAGACGCACATTGAAATATTTATAGATGAAATGAGCTAATGATTGGATTTTCTCCACAACAGTCTAGAAGAGTAGGAAGTGGGTGCTGACGTTGATGAAACAAGATTAGCCATGAGTTGGTAATTATTGATGCTGGGTCAATAGTATATGATGGTTCACTATACTGCACTATTTTATGTATGTTTGAAGTTTTCTATAATAAAATTTTTTTATCTTTAAGAGTCAGTGTAAAAATATGAAGCATTGAGGCTGAGGTGGGGTTCAAAGGAAAATCATCCTGGGATGGGGGTGAGGATGTTGGAACAGATGGGACAGGATGATTGCTACCTCGCACTTTTGCTCAAGGTAAGATCGGAGATTCTGACTTTTCCCACTGGGAGGTGGAATGTCGATTGTTTATTTTTTAAAAGTGAGATATAGTTGACATGACATTAGCCTCAGGTTTACAATTTAAAGATTTGCCATAAGAAATCTAGTTAATGTCTATCACCACACACAGTTACAATTTTTTTTTTCTTGTGATGGGAACTTTTAAGATTTACTTTCTTAACTTTCAAATAACATGATTTAAGATTTACTCTCTTGGGAACTTTCAAATACAGTATTGTTGACTGTCGTCACCATACTGTGCATTACATCCCCAGGACTTATCTACTTTATAATTGGAAGTGTGTATCTTTTGACCTCCTACACCCGTTTCTCCCACCCCCTATCCCCTACCTCTGGCAACCACCAATCCGTTCTTTGTAACTGTGAGTGGGTTTTTTTGTTTTTTTAGATTCTACATGTAAGTGAGGTCATATACCATTTGTCTTTCTATGTCTGGCTTATTTCACTTAGCATAATGCCCTCAAGATCCATCCATGTTGTCACAGATGACAGGATTTTCTTCTGTTTTTTGCTGAATTCTATATAATATGTTTTCTTTATCCATTCATCCACTGATGGACAGTTAGGCTGTTTTATGTCTTGGTTATTATAAATAATGCCACATTGAACATGGGGTGCACATATTTTTCGAGTTAGGGTTTCATTTCCTTCAAATAAATACTCAAGCGAAATTGATGCATCATATGGTATTTTTCTTTTCTCTTCTTTTTTTTTTTGAGGAACCTCCATACCGTTTTCCACAGTGGCTGCACCAATTTATACACCCACCAACAGTGCACGAGGGTTACCTTTTCTCCACATTCTTGCCAATACTTGTTATTTCTTGTCTTTTCGATACTAGCTATTCTGACTGGTGTAAGGTGATATTTCATTTTGGGTTTGATTGCATTTATCTGATGACGAGTGATGCTGGGCACTTTTCATGTACTTGTTTATCTGATTATTTCTTTATGATCAGATTTACCAAAATGGTGATGTGAGTTGTCTCCAGATTAAAGTGGGAACAAGAATCTTAAAAAGAAAGACCTTTCCCCAGTCTTTCCCCAATCTCTTGATCGAAGATGTAGCAAAATGGCATGCAGAAAGGAAAGCAATCCTGATTACCCAGAGCTTCTCAAACTTTATGTTAGACATCACCTGGGGACTCTGTCAAACTGTAGACTCTGATTCAGTATGTCTGGGCCAGGGCCAAGATTCCAAATTCTAACAACATCCCAATGATGTTGTCTTTGGACCCCACTTGGAGTACAGGCGATGGCTCTGTGGTTCACAAAGCTGTTATCGTTTAGAATTACCTGGGAGCTTCTACAAAATACTAATGGCTAAGTCTTTTTAAGAAATACTAATGGCTAAGAACGTTAGAGATTGTGATTCAATTTAACTGGGGCTTGGGTATTATTTTTTTAAAGTCTCCCATATAATCCTAATGATTCCTTAGAGGAATATTTTTAAGACCCAGCAACATAGTCTATTCTTCCCATTTACTAATGATGCATTTTGAATCAACCATTCATTCAATCATCCTTTCATTTATTCAATTTCCAACTCTAATGATTGAATGCTCTATTTTAGAGAAATTACGTCTATGCATTCCTCCTTTTTCGAATAGTTTTTAGCATCTTCTAGAAATATCTACATTCTTTCTACCGGATTTTCACTGGGTTACTGCATAATGAAATTAAACTCTGAATAGCATCCTTCCCACAAATTTCACACTAAGCTGCTGCTTTTGGAACTAGACAATGGCACAGGAGAACAATATTAAACAGTCTAGAAAGGAAGAACAAACACCTATTTTCAGTTGATATTTCATTGGAGGTGACGTGCTAGTCGGATGGTATTTAAAATTATCCGGAATAAAAAAAGAATGAGTAGTTTTATGAACATTTCCTTTGTTCAATCTTAAGCACTTCCTCAAGGAATTATGCAGAATGAGCTTTCTAGGTGACTTCAGCTCTGGGGCAGAGATGCAGACCTCGGCGTTTATCGAATGCTTTCACAAAGCAAGGTAGAAAGGTGAAGTTTTACCCTTGCTGTGGAATGTCCTTATGGATGTCTCCCTAGGCACACGTGCAAAAGTCATGATGGTATACACACAGGCGGAACTGCTGGGTTTCAGGGTATGTGAATGTTCAACTACCAAGATATTACCAAATTGTGTAGTATTTATGAAAGTGCTCGTGTATATTTATCATCCCACCAGCAGTATGGTAGAGCTTCTATTCATCTCTGAGACTTGTGATTATGAATTCTTAATTTTAGCCACTTTAGTAGGTTTTGTGTGTTATCTTGTTAATAGTCTTTTTTTAAGTTTATTTTGAGAGACAGTGTGTGTGCACAAGTGAGGGAGGAGCAGAGAGAGAATCCCAAGCAGGGTCCATGCTGTCAGCACACAGCCCAATGCGGGGCTCGAACTCAGGAACCCCAAACCCTGTGAGATCATGACTTGAGTCATAATCAATAGTCAGACACCTAGGGCGCCTGGGTGGCTCAGTCAGTTAACCGTCCCACTCTTGATTTCGGCTCAGGTCATGATCTCTCGGTTCAAGGGATCAAGCCCCACATCGGGCTCTGAGCTGACAGTGTAGAACCTGCTTGAGATTCTCTCTCTCCCTTTCTCTCTGCCCCTCCCCCCACTGTCTCTCTTAAAGAAGTTGAGCAATTTTTCATGTTTATTCTCCTTTTGTGTTTCGTCTTCCTGTGAAACATCTGTTTGGATGGTTTTTCCATCGGTTGTTTGTCTTTTTTTGTTTGTTTCAGAGTATTAATCTGAATACTATCTTCTTTGCCAGCGACAGGTGTTGCAGATATCTCCTCCCAGCTTGTAGACTGTTTTTGCACTTCCTTGTTGGCATTGCTTGATGAACAGAAGTTCTTAACTATAATATAGGCAGATGTAGGGGCACCTGGGTGGCTCAGTCGGTTAAGCCTCCGACTTCAGCCCAGGTCATGATCCCATCCTTTGTGGGTTTGAGCCCTGCATCAGGCTCTGTGCTGACGGCACAGAGCCTGGAGACTGCTTCAGATTCTGTGTCTCCCTCTCTCTCTGCCCCTCCTCCGCTCACATTCTGTCTCTCTTTCCCGAAAAAATAAACAAATGTTAAAAATTTATAACATAGGCAGATACATCAATCTTTCTGATTTGAGCTTTTTGTGTCTTAAGCACTTTTTCCGTACACAAAGATAAGATAGTCTTCTATTTCTAAATGTTTAAAGGTCTTACCTTTATACATTTACATGTTTAATTACTCTGGAATTAAGTATCAAAAGGCCACCTTTTTTTTTAAATGTTTATTTATTTTTGAGAGAGAGAGAGAGAGAGAGAGACAGAGTATGAGTGGGGGAGAAGCAGAGAGAGAGAGGGAGACACAGAATCCGAAGCAGGCTCCAGGCTCTGAGCTGTCAGCACAGAGCCTGACACAGGGCTCAAACTCACAAACCATTAGTTCGTGACCTGAGCCAAAGTCAGACACTTAACCAACTGAGCCACCTAGACATCCCATCAAAAGCCCACTCTTCAGGGCTGATTCACATGTGGAAAAGGTATCTGTAAATTCCTCCCAGGAAAAGTTGCCTGGTGTCTGCTCTATGGCTGATGAGATCCTCCCCTTATACATATTTTGAGCTTGTTGCTTGCAGGCCAGGAACAGTCTAACATGGGGACCCTTACAGTCATAGTTACTTCAGGGTGACCTGGTAGAGTAGATTAATTTCTCAGTTCTCGATCCCAACAGATCTGATAAAGGAAGTAAAATACTTCTGAACATGAAAGGCAATTATAAGGCTACGGGCTGAACAAAATCCCCCCAAAAAGCAGAGTTTTAGACCTCCATATGATGTGACTGCATTTTTGATAACCATTCAAAGGATCTTCTATGAAAACAACTCTAGTTACTCCTGTACAAATAAGTCAAAGGACACACACAAAAACAATTAAAAACAATTAAAACAATTGTTACAATTAAAACAATTTAAAAACAACAATCACCACCACCACCACAGGCCAACCCTGCTATCAAATCCACATCTTAATGGCAGGAACTTGACCAAAAGAGGGAAGCAGGAAGCCAACACTGATACATGACTCTACTCCCAACACGACTAAGCACTTCAGAGACGGCAATCAGGGAAAAAGTAAAGCACTTTGCATTCTGAGCTAAATTAAAAATAACAGGACCACCCTAACTGGCTTGGGTCTCCAAGCTCTTAAAACAGTGAACATCCCATAAACCTGGTTTCCAAACAAGAGCAATTCCGCTCCTGATCTTGTTATGTTGGCATCTGAGACTATGACTTGGTCTTTGTGACTATAACGTCACGTGAGGAAGTTGTCTGTTGCCAGCATTAACACACGGATATAAACTTGGAAACCTTGATAACTTTACGGTTTCTTGAATCAAATGCTTACCAGGTTCTCTACTGGGGGAGCAGATCTTTCTGAAATCTGACTTCCTTCTTGTCTTTGCAAATCCTTTCCCTTTGAAAGCCTTCTGTTTCGGAGTCCGCCTTTAGCCTGTGCAGTTGGGTGCTTCATCTGCCTATTGGTCATCTTTCTCGCTTGGCACGTTGAGCCTTCAATGTGATGACGTCTTCTTTGTTCGCAGCTCACCCACACACCTCATGTTTTGACTGGGAGTATTTTCATTGGCATTTTACACAGATTCCTCCTGGATACTGTCCACAGGCTAGCTCTTGGTTTCCTTCTAAAGCAGCAATTCACAGCTCCGTCCTCTCAGAAACATGTAAGAGGAAACAAAAGGACACTTGTAATGCCACCTCTTTGGTTTGTTGTGGCTCAACCTAAGCAAAACCTAGCAGTTGGAGGTAAGCCAGTCATTAGATTAGTGACTTCTTGGGGCGCCTGGGTGGCTCAATCGGTTGGGCGTCCGACTTCAGCTCAGGTCATGATCTCACGGTTTGTGGGTTCCAGCCCCGCGTCGGGCTCTGTGCTGACAGCTCAGAGCCTGGAGCCTGCTTTGGATTCTCTGTCTCTCTCTCTCTCTGCCCCTCCCCTGCTCTCTCTCTCTCTCTAAAAAAAAATAAACATTAAAAAATTAAGTTAATGACTTCTTTTAGCAATTTTTATCACAAGCCTTCCTTATCAGGAGAAAAAAAAACCCAGTATTCTCAACTTTATAAACACCTGTAATAACAAAAGATCTTGGGCCTATAGGAGTCAACAGTTTTCTCCCATCTGCTCTTTACTTTGGACAGAGTTTACATGTCTTCTTGGGGTGACTGTGGCCAAAGTGGAATATCTGTGGCTCCCTTGGGACAGATCTTCACATTCTTACCCCTAGAATCCTAGAATAGAGGGTTGATGCAAAGGCCCTGAGGTAGACACATTTTTTTTTTAATGTGAAGAGATGGAAACCATCAGAGGCATCATAAAATGAGTTGACTTTTAGGTCAAGCCAGGAAGATGCTCACCTTCTGCAACTTTCGGTGCATGTGGAGAACAGTCCTGGGTTCGGATAACACAACTTCACATCCTCCTGTGAGGCTCCCAACACTAAATCTGAGCTCTGAAGACACAGGGAATGTTCCTTGACAATGGACAGATGCCAAGCAAGTACCTATATCCCATTTCTACCTCCCTCCTGTTTCCATCTTCTAATCGTTGCGGCCAGAAGTGAAGTGGAGAAGCCAGGATGCCAGCGGTGGAGAGGAATGTCTCAGGAGTCTCTACCGGACTCGACCAGACATACGCTTCTGACACCTCACATGTCTCAGAGGATGTGAGACAGTCGGTGGTGGTTAGTGAACCCAAGTTCACATTCACATAAAATCCGAGCATACAGCAGCACGGGCTTGGCGCAGGCGTGAGCACCTTCGTCTCAGCCACCCTCCCAAGGGCCGTGTTGATCCGGATCTTGCGTATCTGAGAAATGTCAAGATGCTGGCGAGAAATGAATAGCCCGTCTGGTGCTTTCTCGCCAAATGCTGAAGGCAGGGGAAGCATAAGTTGTTTGCAAGATGTCAAGCAGAGGTCTTCAAACAGTGCAGGTAAAAGGAAGAGATGAGTCTTTTCCGGTTTTCTGTCACGGTCACACACAAACCTGCCGACCTAAGGCCCATGCTCAGTGCTCGACTCCAGAGTCCAACTCTCTGAAAAGGTCCGCCAAACGTCCCGCTACCAGGTTTTCCTGGCCTTACTTATTCTGGGAGAACTGAAAGCACCCGGAGTGGATGAAAAGCCTCTTGTCAGTCTGCATCACCGAGGAGCCCAGGCGCCTTGGACAGAAGGTGCGTACGTTATGGAATAGGGTTCCTCAGAGTAGACCCCACAGAAGGGGCAGGTCAATGATTTCCAGGGCTCGGCCACAAATCTCCTCAGGCATCCAACTCTCAAGACTCCCAGATAAGTCGGAAGGGATCTGGACTGGATGCTGCCCTTTTGTTGGAATCAGGAATACCACACCCGTGTCACCCATTCTCTCCACAGGACAGACGTCTCTGAAAACAGCAGAGTAGACAACTCCAAACCTTCATCCCTTCATAAAAGCAGTGAACAAGCTGGCAAGAATTGTCACGATGACGTTTTTCAGAACTCTAGAATCTAATAAAAGAAACTTTCAGCAACCAGAATAAAGCTCCCTGGAAAAAAAAAAAAGCCAGCTGAATTTTGGTAAGAGAGCATTTCGACTTACCTTGTTACCATCTCCAACGCAGCTACAGACTTGAAGACAGAAGTCCATTTTCCTGGTGCAGGTTACTGGCACCGGAGGGACCAGAACCAATCTTATCTTACCTCAAAGAACCGTGGATCCACGTTTTGACCTAAGTAGCTCCCTGAAGCTCCCCGTAAGCTCCTTGAAGGATCTGCTCAAGGACTTGCCTTTGTTTCGCACGCCTCAGCTCCAAGGCAGTTTTCTGGGTGACATTTGCAAATGTATAAGCGGCTGCCATCTGTGGCAAAGGGTAACAATTAGGGCAAGCAACAGAAAAGCCAAAATGCTGGGAAGAAAGAGGCTGGAGAAGGGCGTATTTCAGGGAATAAGGGCTTTGAGAGGCTCCCATTTAATCCAGAGAACTAGAAGATTCCATGCATGCCTGGACTGGATAGATGCTCAGAAAAGACCCGAGAAGATTCAAAGATCTTCCCACTGGCTGACCTTCAAGCTCCATGCAAGCAGGAAGTAAATGGCCCGGCCAAGTATCGAGGAGTGCCACAACGCAGAGCCCATCTGAAAAGACTGGAGAGAGTTTTTAGGGGGCTTTTTTTTTTCTTTTTCTTTTTTTTTACTCCAGGGATTAAAAGAACTCTCTGCCTGACCACTAGCTGACTAGTAAACTAATGGAACAGAAACTTAAGTGACCACACATGACAAAGAATATAGTTTGAAAATTAGTTCAGAAAAGCCATTTAAAAAACAAGCAACAACAGCTACAACAAACAGCAACAACACGTCATGGAGAGAGAGGGAAAAAGTGATTTCCAAAGTTGCCACATGAGAATATTCAAAATATTAAGTTTTCAATGAAAAGATTACAAAGTCACATGTGAAAGAAAGAACCATTCATAGGAAGAAAAAAGTTAATAGTTCTTGAGGAAGCCCAAATATCCGACTTAACAGACAAAACTTTACTTTTTTTAATATTTGTTTTTGAGAGAGACAGAATGCGAGTGGGGGAGGGGCAGAGAGAGAGGGAGACACAGATTTGGAAGCAGGCTCCAGGCTCTGCGCCATCAGCACAGAACCCAATGTGGGGCTCGAACTCATGAACCTGTGAGATCATGACCTGCGCCAAAGTCGGATGCTTAGACTGAGCCTCCCAGGCACCCCGAGAGCCACTTTTTAGAAAACATCTATATACTCATTGCCCAGTTTTAATATTAACATCTTGCCATCTCTGTTGCATCTATTTGTTTTTTACTGAAGTGTTTGAAAGTAAACGGGGTGTAACATCTGTCAACATTTTGGTTATGTCCCACTTCATCTTGGCCAAAGTTTCTCATGTTTCCTTACTTTCTCAGGGAAATCTCCTGACCTTCTTTTCTCTCTTTCCCTCACAGAAAATGTCCAACATTAGCTCCTTATTCATCGTTTAGTCCCATTCTCTCACACTTCTTTCCAATAATACCATGGTAGGCTCACATGTAATTCTTTTCTCAGAATTGCCTCCTTCTTCTGAGAACAATTTCCCGTCATCCTATCCAAATTGTTCTCTCAGGATCTCCAGTTATGACACAACGTCACACACACACGTCTCTCCTCCTCCTATCACAGTTGCTGTGTCTAGACCTTGTGGCCCAGAGAGGGTTTTCCCACTGGTCTTGGACCCACTGGTCTTGGCCCAGAGAGTTGAGGTGGCTTCACTGCAGGTGGCCAACTTGGTCAGCTGCAAAGCTCAGGAGCTATCAGAGGTCAAGTTTCTCTCATGTGTTGAAAGAATGCTTCCAACGAGACAGAAGAATGATGTTGATACTCAGAGAAAGTGGAGCAAACAATCCTTTATTGTTGGGAAACTGACTTTTTTTTGTAACCTCACTTGAATTGGGATTCTGTGGGCACCTGGGGGTCTCAGTGGGTTAAGCATCTGGCTCTTGGTTTCAGCTCAGGTCACGATCTCATGGTTCATGAGTCTGAGCCCCACATCAGGCTCTGCATCGACAGCGTGGAGCCTGCTTGTGATTCTTGTGCGCGCGCGCTCTCTCTCTCTCTCTCTGCCTTTCCCCCACTTGTGAGTGCACTCTCTCTCCCTCTCTCAAAATAAATAAACTTTTTAAATAAGTAAGTAAGTAAGTAAATAAATAAATAAATAAATAAGGATTCTAGCGCCTGTAGCCAAAAGAGCATGTAAGTAAGTATGGTCTGGCCTAGGAGATATCAATAGGGAGAATTGGGTAAAACCTTTAGTCCACCCCCAAATAAAAGTTATAAAGACCACTCTAAACAATCCATCCAACCTCAAATTCAAAAGACTTGAAGAGAAGCTATAGTTCTGTGTATGTTTTCAAGGTCAAATATTAATACATAAATCTATAAAACTTAAAAAAAAAAAAAGAAAAGAAAAGGCGGCAAGGAGCTCACCAATGTATGTAGGACTTAGGATTTCAGATTGTTACTTTTGTACATTACACGTTCATTTAAAAAGCAAACAAAATTTTATTTTGTACCTACTTTTTGTAGAAAGTGCCTCAGAAAGTATAGTGTGTCTGCTATTGAACCGGAAAATTTAGTTTGTGGTTCTGTATTTTATTCTAAACGTGATCAAATACACCTCCACACACACACACGAGACAGGAAGGTGTATACATTTTATGACTTGTTAAACATACCAACAAACAATAAAAAACAACTGACTAGAACAACATTATTAAACTGAAAAATTCAGTTAATAATTCTTCTCAAAAATCTATGTAGCCACAGAAATTTGTCTTTTTCCTAGACCATACACTACCGAGCCAACATGATTACTCACTTTTGTATCCTATGGTGAAACGTATACTTCTCAAGGGTACAGATATAATCATATAAATCAACACAAATCAAAACGTGTTGAGCACATGTGCTGATACTGTCTGTCACCTACTCCAGGAAGTCTTTCCTGACCTCCCGGATAAGGATCGTGCCCTTGATGTTCTCATAGTCTCAGCTGGTCCTTCGTGGCACATATAAAAATAATTCTTAAATTATCTCCCAATGACTAGTTCAGTATTGTCTCCCTGGAAAATACATAATTTCCCAAAAGACACGGGCTTTGTTCCCCTCTTCAGGAATGGGCCCCAGTATCAAGCAGGCACATAAGGAAATGCTTAGTAAAAGATTAATGAATGGGGCGCCTGGGTGGCCCCGTCGGTTGAGCATCGGACTTCGGCTCAGATTATGATCTCACGGTTCGTGGGTTCAAGCCCAGCGTTGGGCTCTGTGCCGACAGCTCGGAGCCTGCAGCCTGCTTCCGATTCTGTGTCTCCTTCTCTCTCTGCCCCTCCCTTGCTCATGTTCTCTCTCTCTCTCTCTCTCTCTCTCGCTCTCTTTCTCTTAAAAATAAAAATTTTTTAAATTAAAAAAAAGATTAATGAATAAATATGTCACACCACAGAGAATTTTATAAAGGAAGGACTCCATAATTTCTGTCGGTTGTCTTATTTCTGGCTTGTGCAGAGAATGAGAACGGAGAAAGGAGCGCGTACTACGGAGGGTGAGCGAATGTGAGGCTCTGGCATTTGCGGGCTTGTTTCCCTCCCAGCGTCCCGTCAACTGTCAAGTGCAGCAAGGTGTGCTTTGTACTACATACAATCATAGGAGTTTCTCAGTTCGGTTTCCTGTGTTTCAAAATCTTTTTAACTACGTGGTGATGGATGCTAACTAGACTTATTGGGGTGATCGTTTCACAACATGTACAAATACTGAATCATTATGTTGTCCACCTGAAACTACATAATATTCTAAGTCAATTTATGTCAATAACATAACATTTCTTTCTTTCTTTCCTTTCTTCTTCCTTCCTTCCTTCCTTCCTTCCTTCCTTCCTTCCTTCCTTCCTTCCAGAGAGGGAGCAAGTGGGCCAGAAGAAGAGAGAGAGAATCTTCAGCAGGCTCCACACTCACCCTGGGATCATGATCTGAGCTGAAATCCAGAGTCAGATGCTCAACCTACTGAGCCACCCAGGTGTCCCTGATCACTCTATTTTATTTTTAACATTTATTCATTTTTGAGAAACAGAGACAGACAGAACGTGAGTGGGGGAGAGGCAGAGAGAGAGGGAGACACAGAATCCGCAGCAGGCTCCAGGCTCCGAGCTGTCAGCACAGAGCCCGATGTGGGGCTCAGACCCACGGAGTGCGAGATCATGACCTGAGCCGAAGTCGGAAGCTTACCCGACTGAGCCACCCTGGCGCCCCCCTGATCACTCTATTTGAAACTGTGATATCTCATTTCCTCTTTCCTGCTTGATTTTTTTTTTCTCTATGGCACTTGTCTCCATCTGTCAGAATATACACATTGTAACACAATAGTGTAAATAGTGTACCGTTTACTGTCTTTCCCCCACTAGAATGTAAACTTCGAGAGGATAGGGATTTTTGTCTGTTTTAATCCCCTGTATCTCTAGCATTCTGCCATGTAGTAGGTGCCCAATGAATGTATGCTCCATGAATGACGGAATGAACGAATGCCCTGAGCACTGCTTGAGGAAACCCGTCAGCTGGGCAGCAGACTAAGTTGGATTAACTGTCAATCTCAAATGGATCCTAAATATCAAATCATTCGTTACAAAAGATGCTGCTACTGTGAATGATCATTTTCTTCAAACTCCATTCATGTTATTAAAATTACCCCTATTAACACTGATTCAGTGGGGTCAGCTTGCTGCTCCCTTTTTCCCTGTATTTTCCATCTCGGTTTCCAAATATTTTTGAGCCTTTACTATACGGTATGCTAAGCACTGGATACAAAGTGATAGGCCTACAGCGACAAAGTCCTTACCTTTATGAAGCTTACAGTTTTCTGAAATTCACCGTGTGAAACTCACCAGACCACTACCTCTCCCCGGTTTCAAGTATCTTCTCTCAGATCAACTAAAATTAAGTAGAATTCTAGCAAATTATTTCAATTCAATCTTGTCCAATTTCACGCACATAAACCAGCTTTCAAAGACCACCGGAACCTAGCTTGCAGCACCACAGATATCTAAAAACTAGTCTGAATAGATAGCACTGGGATCGCGTCTATACAATATGAAAGCTGAGTGCAAATTAGCAACATGAGACTGCTATCTGACGAAGGTTCTTCATGTAATTTTACGCTTCAGCTTATATAAATCCCAGCGCTAAAACCTTTAAAAGCATTTGTATCAATTATTTTGCAGAAATATTTTGATGTCATTGTGGTTCATTATAATGGTTAAAGTTATTGTCAGTTTTCCAAAAAAAAAAAAAGAGTTTATTTCAATAATTCCGGGCATATATGAAACTGTAGCCAGAGTAATTTTTCTAATGGCTAAAAAGGTTTTAGTCTTTTGTCAGCAAGGACTGTAGTTAAAATATTTCAACCGCAGAATCTTCTTATCCCGTCGGAGTACAGCCAAGTACCTGCAGAATAGTTCGGAGGTAGAAACAGGACACTGCCAGTCAGCAGAAAATTTTGAATCTATCATAGGACAGAGGCCTAATTGCTCCCCTATTTCATTTGACAACCAGAATGGCTGTTTTGAGAACACTTTTGTGGGTTTCTTTTTAAAGTGTTTCCAAGTTTAATTTTAACAGGCACAACAGAGTGCCAGTCCCCTATCTGATTGTCCCACAAAATTTGACCTGCTTGACTTAATCAGCAGTTGCACTGGAAATCTAAGGACATGACAGGGTAACAGCGAAGCAAAATCAGTTTAGTTACAGGATAAATTAACAATTGCAGACCGTCAGCTCAAGGCAAGTCAGCAAAATTGTACCAAAGCTTGTTCAGAATCCACAGGGCAAAATGGAAAATAATCCCACGTGCCCATGTTTCTGAGTTACTTTGCAAGGGCAAGATTACCATGGGAACATGCATATTTTGATGGGGAACTCACCCTAATAGTGTAACAGTCAAAGTTTGCGACAAATAGGGATTACTTCCAGAATTTGCAGGGACATCTCTGGCTCTCCTCTGGGGATCAGAGCACATGTAGCGGTAGCAGAAGTAGGGGACTAGGACAGTGTTCATAAGCTTTTTGATCCCAGGACCCCCTTACCTCTTAAAAATCACTGAACTTTCATTTATGTGGATTTTCATCTATCAATATTTATCAGACATTAAAATGAAGAATTTCTAGAAATATTCATTAACTTATATAAAAATAAAAATAATAATAGAAACCTCATACACGGTCACATAAATATTTTTATGATAAGTGACTGTGTTTTCCAAAATAAATTCTTTTTCACTGCATTTCTTTTTTGCTGCACCGTTTGGTGAGAAGTGTGGCACTGTCTTACCTTTTTGTGACATCCGTAAGGTCTAGCTCGGTCGAAAACAACTGGACACTCATCTGCCTCTGCATTGGATCTATTGCCATATGCATTTGGTTTAAGTATGTGAAGAAAACCGTCTCACACAGGTATGCTAGAAAAGGGAGCAGTATTTTAATAACTTTTTCAGGTAATTGTGGCTAATCTTATTTGGTACCACACCAACACTCCACAGTGACAGATTTTTTTTAAAAGAGTAGTTGCAACGTGAAATCTAAATCGTATCAGTGACATTTTCATACTGGTACATTAAATTCTATTGGCCCACGTAGGAGTGCCTGGGTGGCTCAGTTGGTTGAGCTTCCGACTTCGGCTCAGGTCATGATCTAGCAGTTCATGAGTTTGAGCCCTGCGTTGGGCTCTGTGCTGACAGCTCAGAGCCTGGAGCCTGCTTCGGATTCGTGCCTCCCTCTCTTTCTGCCCCTCCCCTGCTTATGCTCTCTCTCTGTCTCTCTCTCTCTCTCTGTCTCTCTCTCTCTCAGAAATAAACATTAAGAAAAAGTTTTTTAATTCCATTGGCCTATCTTACACTTCAAATGATCTTTTCCCATTTCTTATTTTGTAACATTATGTACTGATCATTTGAAAATATCGTTCACTCCGTTATGCAGATAATCGAAATGTGGAAACATTTAACTATATAAAACAAACTGAGTTTGTTCCTATCACCAATGATCTTAACAGAAAAGTATCTCAGTTGTAGGAAGGTGTCAGGCTCACGGTGGTGGATACAAGTTTTCCAAACTGTAACTTTTACTTCAAAGCTCAAATTTTCTCCGTTGTTTCCCTTGAAGTAGCAGTAGTCTGGTTTAGCCCATCAGAAGATGTCAGCCCAATACTCAACTCCGAATAACCCTAGTTTGTCTGTTCTTTCAAGTAAAAATAGTATTCAATGGGAAAGGTGGTGTTAGTTCAGCTTGCAACTCAAACAACAGAACAGGTGCTTTTCCTCCAGACAATCATTGTACTGATTATATAGCACAAATGTCTTATCCACAGTTCCCATTTTGTCACAGTTTATTTAAAAGATGTGTACTCGGATATGGAGATCAAATAAAATTAATGATTTGTACTGCCCTCATCACACCTATTATTGAGTGAACTGCTTTTATGTTTTTAGCTTAAGAGTGCATGGTGGCGCGGGGCGCCTGGGTGGCGCAGTCGGTTAAGCGTCCGACTTCAGCCAGGTCACGATCTCGCGGTCCGTGAGTTCGAGCCCCGCGTCGGGCTCTGGGCTGATGGCTCAGAGCCTGGAGCCTGTTTCCAATTCTGTGTCTCCCTCTCTCTCTGCCCCTCCCCCGTTCATGCTCTGTCTCTCTCTGTCGCAAAAATAAATAAATGTTGAAAAGAGTGCATGGTGGCGAAAAGTACAATGATGGCCAGTGCCACTGCCTTGATTCGTGGTAAAGCGCTAGGTTGTTTTTCCCATTATAGCTTTTGCATCACCAGAGAAATGGCAATGCAGTAAAAAAGGCAAATAACGTCTTAACACTATTCTGGAGATAATTTTGACCTCACACATCCCTTACAAAGGTCCCAGAGACACCCAGGGGCCCAAAGGAGAGCAAGGGAGAGGACATGCTTTGGGCCTCCCAGGTGCCAGTGCTGTACAAGATGTTAAACATGTTCTACATTCATTATCCCAGGTGGGCTTATAAGTCCGAGATTCTCTTCAACAAGTATCTGTGCTTCCACTTTAAGGACAAAGAAACAGGCTTTAGGAAGTGACAGAACGTAGAATCTAGTCTGTCGGGCTCCAAAACTCATGTTTCGCCTCCACAGTGGAAAAAGATACCTTCCTTCCAGCTTTGATTTAGGGACCCTCTTGCAGACTGCCCACCATGATAAGCCATGCCCCACACTACCATCGAACCTGTTTCCAAGTCTGGGCAAACCTTTTCCTCTAGCAGTAAAACTACTTCTCTTATACTAATTACCTAAGCCAGAAGTGAGAAGAATAAGGTATAAGAGGTCTTCCCCCCCTTCCCAATAAGCCCCCACCGGACATTAATAATCTTTACTTTTCAGTTAGCCTGGAATTAGCTTCAGAAACATCTCAACTCAGGTCCAGGTAGCCACAATCAATCAATCAATCAATCAATCAATCCATCCATCCGAGCTAACAACAGACTTGAAATTTGTCAGCCCTCATTTCTAAATCATTATGCGGCAAGTATGTGGGAACAGAGCACGAACCTCTTCCTTTGTTACTAAGTTTGCCAGGAAGAGATGTGCACAGCTCCAAGTGATCGAATTACCTAGGAAAAACACAAAACAACTAACATAATCACTAAGACCAAGGACTGTTGACCCCAACTGATGAGGCTCCTGGAATTTATTACAAGTTCAACGGTCCACTAGAGGTTTCCTACCCACTACCAAACTCTACATCGTATCTTTTCCCACTTTGCCAAATTGTACTTGACTGTCTAAAAGGTAACTAGGCTTCCGTAAATCACTGCAATGGCTTCTTCTACTCTCACTGCAACACTCTTCCTGTCTGAACACTTCTGATATTTGACTAGCTTCTTCCTCATGTTGCACTGGCCTTAAAGTCTAAGGTAGTTGAAGGTATTTTGGAAGCTGGAGCAAACGCAGGATTTGGGAACAGAAACATCTGGAGACAGACAATGAAGACCTGGGTTAGAGGGCTGAGACTCGATCAGAATGTCCAATCACATGGTCACAAGCCTGGTAATGCTTCACTGTTTGCAGGTAGAAAAATTCTGGAACAGTGCAATCTTTGCCTCCTTGATTAAAAAATAGATTTTATCTTGTTCATTTCCACCTCCCCCTTCCCCTTGCTTCTCAGGATCTCAAATGAAAAATTTTATGGGGAAAAAAATGATTCTTTTACATAATTATTCTTCACCATACATTTTTCCATTATTCATAGTATTTCAGTTCCCAGGACTTCAGTTATCATTACTGACATTTCCCTGGAGACAAGAATTCTCATTATATACTTTCTACCCCAGAATTTCCTAATCAGTTCTCGTTTGAAATTGTTCTCCTGCCAACCTACCAAGACAAAGGGCAAATCAAAAGGAGTCGACTGAGACTCATATGGACTTCCTAACCACAGCCTCACACAGAACGTGGATCCAGGTTTCCTCCTAGCTTGGAAAAATTTTTCCTGCTGGAGTTAAACTGCCAGTGTCTTCTGAAAACCAAAATAAAACAAAACATACACTGAACTTTATTAAAATTCCTTCACAGAAGAAAACATGAAAATGGACATAGCTTTAGCTTATGACTTTAGCTTAATGACCAAAAATTATGGGTTTTGTTTAGTATTTTTATTCAAGCCTGGTGCACAACTAATTTCCCTCATTTTAATAAGTCACGTTCCTGTTCATTTGTTGACCTTATTTTCTAAAGCTGTTGGATGACCTTCATTTCCCCGACTTTTGAAAGTTGTTATTCAAAACAACTGTGCTTTTACAAAAGTTAAAATACCTTGGGGCGCCTGGGTGGCTCAGTCAGTTAAGCGTCCAATTCTTGATTTCGTCTCAGGTCTTAGTCTCACGGTTTGTGAGTTCAAGCCCCAGGCCGGGCTCCGTGCTGGTGGCAGAGACTGCTTGGGATTCTCTCCCTCTCTCTCTGCCCCTCACCTACTTCCATTCTTTCTTTCTCTCTTTCTCTCTCTCTCTCTCTCTCTCTCTCTCCCCCCTCTCAAGACCAATAAACTTAAAAAAAAAAAAAAGTTAAAATACCCTCTACCTAAAATACTCTTACTACTTGTTCTATGGTCAAAGCGTTACTGTTTCTCAAGTCCAACCTCCTCCATGAGGCTTCCTTCTTGTCCGGGAGCTCGTCTCTCATCCACTCCCCCCTATAACGTACACACACAGTGTCATCCACATAGTGCCTGCACTGCTCGTGTTCAGTGTCCTCTCCTAGACCACTTAGAATATTGGAACACACTCACCTTTTTCTTCCACCAAACTCTCTGTGGAGTCCTTGAGGGCAAGGGTCATGTTTTATTCATGTTTATAGTCTCATCACTCAGCACAGCACCTGACTTAATCTGGATGCTAATAAATATTGAATGACTTTCGAGTTTTCCTTCTTTCCACATTCAATTACTGCACATTTCTTTTTAAGTTTCAACGCTTTTCTTATTCTTTACATTAATGATCTCAAAGTAGAGACAAATTGACTGTTAGAGACTCAGGAAACCACTTTGTTTTTCAGATGTGTATGACAGAGCTAGTGACACAAACCGATTTTAAAAGCCTACAGTAGAAATAAATGCCTTACATTCTTTGGAGGAATATGCTAAATAAATAAAATGGGGTTCACTTGGAAAAACCATTTGGCAATTTTTTATGAAGTTAGAGATACACCCACCTTATGGTCAAGCAACATTAAATCTAGGTATTTCCCCCAAAGACATTAAAACATACTCACAAAATGTTGACGACGGTTTTATTCATAGTATCAAAAAATTGCAAACATCCCACTTTCCCTCTAGAAAAGAATGCCTACATAATTTGTAGTATATTCACACGGTGGAATACTACTTAGTAATGAAAAAGGAATCGCACTATTGGTCCAGATGACGTGATGCAATCTTGAAAACACTGAGCTGAACAAAAGAAGATAAGTAAGAGTGCAGACTGTAGAGCGCCATTTATGTGAAATTTCACAATAGGCAAAACTACTCTATAATTGTAGAAATCAGGGTATCAGATGGTTGTGGTGGGGAGGAGGGTTAGCTGGAAAGGATCATCAGGGAATTTTCCACAGGGATGGCAATGGTCTATACCTTTGTCGTAAATACTGGTTGTAAAGTTATAAAAATTAGTCAAAAATCATCCACGTATACACTTAGATGTGTGCATTTTAGTGTACGTATTTTAAAAAAATCTCTCAAAAAAAAAAATTAAAAAAAAAAAGGGGCGCCTGGGTGGCGCAGTCGGTTAAGCGTCCGACTTCAGCCAGGTCACGATCTCGCGGTCCGGGAGTTCGAGCCCAGCGTCAGGCTCTGGGCTGATGGCTCAGAGCCTGGAGCCTGTTTCCGATTCTGTGTCTCCCTCTCTCTCTCTGCCCCTCCCCCCGTTCATGCTCTGTCTCTCTCTGTCCCAAAAATAAATAAACGTTGAAAAAAAAAATTTTTTTTTAAAAATAAATAAAAACTAAAAAATCTCTCAGTCTCTCTCTCTGATGTATGCACACATATATACCTAGGTGTCCATATGTGCATACACACATATACGTACATTATACTGGGGTTCAATTATTTATTATTCAAGATAGTCAAGAACAATATACAAAGTCTAAAATGGTGGGCCACACCAAGAACACATTAATTCTGGAATTGTTGTACTATTATATTTATCTTCTTAATTATGATTTCCTTAGGCTAAAAGTAATATGATTCTGGTTACACTTAGCCTGGACCAACTGATCAGTGACGTAAAAAACTATGCTAAAAAACAACTGCCACCTTCCAATTATATTTTCCTATGACAAAAATCTTTAAAATCTCTAAAAAAGATTTTTAAAGAGTTACCTAAAATAGAAGCACAGTAATTGCCAATACTTTGGTCACAGCATCTGGATTTGTTCTATAATTTAAACACCTTACTAAATTCCTAACTATGCAGATGCTAATGCTTAGGAAGCAAAAAAGATGAGAAAGAATGAGCCATGGGAAAGGCAAAGGGGAAGAGTGTGCATAAAACCCCTGAGGCTAGAAAGCCCTGATCCGGGTCAGGGAACCACAGAAGGCTACAAATGAGCTGGGGCGGGGAAACCAAGTGACCCTGAGAAGATAACCCAGAACTGGTTTATACAGGACCTTGTAAACCAAGGTAAGGAGTATAGATTTTATTCTAAGAGCAACAGAAAGCCTTTGGAGGATTTTAAGCAAGGTTATGACACAATTGAGTTCACATTTCTAAAAGATCATTCTGACTGCTATGTAGAAAATGGACAGAGCAGAAGCAAGAGAGAAAAAAGTGACCTTAATGGGGCCATTGCTAGTCTGGGGGAGAGATTCCAGTGGTGGTGGTGGAGATGGGAGGAGGCAGGCCATCCGGAGATATATTTTACAGGTATTACTGGAAAAAAATATGCTGATGGATGGGATATGGGGGGGGGGGAGGAAAACTTAAAAATGAAACTGAGGTTTCTGGCTTATGCCACTTACTGACATGGGAAACATTGCACTGAAAACAGGTTTGGGGGTGGAAAGGTAAGTTTTATTTTGGACACATTAACTTTGAGATGCCAAAATGTATCCAAGAAGGGATGTCAGGCTGAATAGTTTTGAGAAGGGTCTTGAATTTAAAGGAAATAAATGTGGTAGTAAGCAGGATAGAGACGAAATTTAAAATTATAGGTATACGTGGATTTCCCCAAGAAGAGGGTGTAGAAAGAGAAGAGAAGGGAGCCAGTTCCAAATCCTGAAGAAGTCTTTTAGAGGACAGGAAGAAAAAGAAAACCAGCAAAGCAGGCGGTGGATTGGTCAGAAAGGGTAGTGTTTCAAGGAGGGAGTGGCCAAAGCTTCTCAGAGATTAAGAAAACCACGAACCTAGACTACCTTTTGGTCTTGGCAACGTGGAAGCAGTCTGAAGAGCATGATTGGGGCAAAAGTCAGATCAAACTGGAAACAGAATGGGATGTAAGGAAGAGATCATAATGATCACGTATTAGGTTAAATCATAGGACACTGCCGAACTCTGACAGTTTCTGATGTACAAAAACAGTAATTTCACGTGATTCTTTTCTAAGGAGCTTGATGGAAGAACATAGAAGGGAAGATGAGGTCAAGTAGGGCCCGGAAGGAGAGGGGAAAGACCGAAGCGTGTTTGTACCTTGATAAACATGAAGCAACTGTCAGCTGAAAAAGGGTGAAGTTTCGAAAGGGACGGAAGATTTGGTTACTGAAGAAAAAAAACATGAAATAATCTTCACAGAGAGTAGGTACGTAAATTAACTGAACTGCAGTGGGGATGTTAGGCACCACTTGAGAGTTGTTGACCATGAATTTGTGGCACAGACTAAAAGCTCAAATGCCTACAGGGGCCAAGACAAGTGAACCTGAAGCAGGCTGAGTGGACATGAAACTCAAGAATATATATCCAGTCTCAAGGGGGTGGCCACTGGACTGCTGCCACCAACAGTGCCAATCCTATGTTGTCACATCCTCTGATTTAAGAGGAGCCAGAAATCTTGATTTTTATGTAACATACCTTAATTTAAAAAACACTCTATGAGCCACCGGGGTGGCTCGTCAGTTAAGCATCTGACTTAGGCTCAGGTCATGATCTCCCGGTTCATGAGCTTGAGTCCCACATCGGGTGAGTTCAAGCTCCACTTGTGGCTCCACACTCTCAGTGCGTGGGATTCTCCCTCCCTCCCCCTCTCTGCCCCTCGCTCACCATGCCCTCCTTCTCTCTAAAAAACAAAACAACAACAACAAAAACCACTCTGTGTGTTGAAGAAAACAGGTTGCATGTATCCAAGGTGGTACATTTTTTAGGAGAGTGATACGGAAGACTGATTTGAGTCAGTTGAGATAGAGTGGCTATAACAATGAACTACTAAAAATGAAGCTAGATAAAGAAGAATATAGAGACCAAAGGAGGGTATAATACAGTGAAGGTAGTGGACCAGTTTTGTACATTGTTGAGTTTCGGGGGGGGGAGGGCTTTTGGTTTATTTTAGAGAGACAGAGAGGGAGACAGAGCGTGGGCAGGGGAGAGGGGCAGGGAGAGAGAATCTTAAGCAGGCTCCACACTGAGTGTGGAGCCCAACATGGGGCTTGATCCCATGACCCTGGGATCATGACCTGAGCCAAAATCAAGTCGGATGCTCAACCGAGCCACCAGGTGTCCCAAATTTTGTACAGTGTTGTTAACTGAAGGCCATAGTTTATTCAGACTTCCTTAATTTTTACCTAATTATTATTTTTCTGTTAGGATCCCATCCAGGAAACCACATCACATGTAATTATCACGTCTCCTTACGCCGTGGCAGTTTTTCAGACTACCCTTGTTTTTTACGAGCTTGACAGTTTGAGGAATGCTGGGCAGATATTTTGTAGAATGTCCCAATAGCAGAATTTGTCTGATCCTTTTCTCATGATTGTATTATTTTTATGATTTTTTTTCTAAAAATAATCTAAGCAACAAAAATCTTAACCTGCTTGAATTTAAATAATGTTATTCTGTTGACTTTGAAATTTGACTTACAACCCCGATGCATCTGGACTTTGTAATTTTTAAAAACTGCATAGGCTTCAAAATTTTGAATTTCTACATTCTGTCTGTAGTTTCTTGCCTTGAGCTCACTTGCTCAAGAACTTAAGGAATCAGGAGACAGTCTTTATCGAATCCTTTTTTTTTTTTTTTTAATGCTTATTTATTTTTGAGAGAGAGAGAGAGAGTGTGAGCGGGTGAGGGACAGACACACACACACAGAATCTGAGAGAGACAGAGTTATCAGTGGGGGAGGAGCAGAGAGAGGGAGACACAGAATCCAAAGCAGGCTCCAGGCTCTGAGTGGTCAGCACAGAGCCCAACGCGGGGCCTGGAACCCACTAACCACAAGATCGTGACCTGAGCCAAGTCGGATGCTTAACCAACTGGGCCACCCAGGCGCCCGCAAAACCCTTTCTTGTACTACTTTCCAGTTCTTTTCCTACTGGACGTAAAAATTCCAAGTTCGATTTTTATCCCCTTTTATTTCTTGAGTACTTCCAATACATATGCATATATTCCTAAGCATACCTAAGCAACATGCGGTAGCGTTACATGTTTTAAGATCGTATGTATATAAATTGTCATGCTATATACATTCTACATCTTCCTCTTCTGGCTTCATATTTCTGGGTTTAGTACTGATTTACTGGCATATAATATTCCCTCATATGAGCATCCCATTCATGTATTTGTTCTCACCAGGGGAGGTTTCTAATCTTTTGCTTCTACTCAGTGCTGTTACGCATTCTTGTCTACATGTCAAAGGTTCTGTAAGATACGAACTTACAAGCAGAATGCCAGGATACAGTATTTGAAAATTTGAGGTTTTACTTTATTCTGACAAAGTGCTTCCCAAAATGGATGTAACATTTACGCACCTACCAGCAAGAACGTGGTTATGCCGTGACTCATAGAGGAAAAAGAACTTTTGAAAGACACAAACTGGATAATATGCTTTCCTCATTGCAATCTGCCCTCTGTGCTCACGTAATCATTTCTGCAAACAAACATACGAGTGCTAGGAGCCCCGCAAAAGGCTTAAACACCGTTAGGCCAGCCTCTCCCCGGCGCCCGGAGACGCCAATACACGCCCACTTCCGGCGTAAGCTCAACGTAAAGGCGAACGTAGGCACGCGTAGGACGTCGGCGCCCTGTTTGACGTCCTTGAAGGCCCCTTTCCGGGCTGTCTGGAAAGATCCAAGTGTCAGCTTGTGTAGGTCTATTGCCTCTTTTTGACAAAAAAGAAAAATATTCTAAGGGTTCCCCTTGTTCTCTGAGAAGACCCCTTTCCCCGGAAGAGTTGCTTTCGGCTGGCGTTTCTTTCAGGCAGTGCCGCGGGCAGCCCGTAGGCCCTTGTAAGGCGCGCGCTGCAGCCCCGCCTCCTTCCTTTCGGCCGGAACCGCCATCTTCCAGGTAGGGCCTGCGCGTGGCTCCTGGTGCCGCTTGCCCCCCAGACCTGAGTCCTGGCCCTGTGACCGCTCCGGTCGTGCTTTGAGGCCTTAAAAGGACTGGTTAGACTGTTCGGGGCCCACCGGCCTGGGCGGTGGAGCCATGTTCAATCAGACCGGGAGCGGCGTGCGCCGGGTCTGGGCCGGGGGGCTGAGGACCGGACCGCGAGGCCGGGGCCCTGCGGGGGGAGAGGCTCCAGAGAAGCTAAGTCGAGATACAGCGGGGAGGCGACTCGGGTCAGTTTAGGGAATCGTTGGTTTTTCTTGGGTCCCCGCGGCTTTAGACTCCGTAGTCTGGGCCTTCGGACAGGCTTTGTGGGGCCGCGTGGCCCAGGCAGGCCTTTGGAACTCAGTGTGGAGTTTGGGCCCCTAATGTGCAACCTAAACTTGTAATGGGTTGGGTGGGGACTTACGGTCGTTTGGGACGGGTTAAAACGGGCTTAAAGTCAGGAGCTTTAACCTTCAAGGAGGCCTCAGGGTGTGTGTGAAAGCCCGGGCCCGTGGTCCGAGAAAAGAGTGGATGCCCGTTTAGTCGCCTCGCAGGATGTGAACCCCAGACCCCTCGGCGTTAGTGCTTGTGAAATTATCCCGGTTGTTACAGATTTTAGGCCCAAGTCGCATTTGGACAAACGGAAAGTACGTTCAGGTTGCCGCAGGTATTTTGTTAAGGCTGGGGCAGCCGGTGAAAGGATTCCCGAATAGTTGTGTGTCTCATGTAGACTCTTGGGGGGGGGGGGAGTTAGAGACGACCCACTTCCGCTCTGATCCCGCCGCCCCGGGGGGGTCTAGTTTGTAAATTTTAGCTACCTGAGCTGAGCAAACTGCAGGTGGCGTGCAGGTTGGTGCTTTTGGTGACTCTAAAGAAAGCATCACTATTCCCTACATCAAGTATCATTTTCAAAAGCGTGTGTTGGGTGATTTCTTACTGGGGAAAATGGATCTGCTGGCAGAATGATTTCTGGAGTCCGAAATTACTTCCATTATCAAATCTGCCACTTTGTGACCCGGGGAAGTGATTTGGACCTGCAGAGCGTCTCTTGTGTATACGATGAACTTCACACTTTTGTATGCGCTGGGTACAAATGTAGAGAATTTGAGGATTCAAGCAGGGTCGGGTGAAACATTGTGTCCCTTTGCGTCTCAAGTTACCCTAAGAAGGTGCTTTGGAATCCCTTTTCTTTTAAGAAGTGTTCATAAGTTAAGGGATTTATGTTAGGGTCTTATCAAGTTAAGCCTGACTTCCATATATTTTGCCTTGTGGTTGGAGTAATTCCCAGAGATGGGAGCTCTGCTCTCCAGCGACCTGAAGCATAAAAGCCATTGTTTCAGCCTTTTGGGGAACAGTGAAAGATGCAATTTGAAATGCCTATATGTGAATTCTTAGATAACGATGAATTAACTACCACTTAATATTAGACACATACACTAGAAGTTGCTCGGTGGGGGCGCCTGGGTGGCTCAGTTGGTTGGGCGTCCAACTTCGACTCAGGTCGTCATCTTAGGGTTCGGATTCGGACCCCACGTCAGGCTCTGTGCTGACAGCTGGGAGCCTGCAGCCTGCTCCAGATTCTGCCCCTCCCCCATTCGCACCTGCAGGCTCCCTCTCTCTCAAAATGTTAAAAAAAGTTGCTGAGTGCTTTGTAGACATGACCCTGTGTAAGAGATACAGGGTCACAAAAAATTACCTCGATAAGAGAAGGGGTTTAATCCACCACATAAAAATGCAGGGCTGAGTTGTTTTGCTCTCCAACAGTAAATTACTGTCCAGTTAGTAATTCCAGTGCCTTCGGCATTCTCAGGTGGGTTCTACAGAAGTGGGGTAGAAGTTCTGTGTTTTATGTTCTAACAGGGAAAGTACTGGTGTGGGTTCCAAAATCAGGTCTTCGTAGCTTTAATGTTAATAGCATTTAGGCAGTTTGCGTGAAGATCCTACATGCCAAATGATGGGGTTTTATCCTTTATGGGAAATAATTGGTGAGTCAACTTAGATTTTTTTGTTGTAAAGCAAGCATTTGAAATTTACGGGGTTTGATTGGGGGGTTTTTTTGTTTAAAAAGACAATTACCAATTTTGCGGTTTTGTTTGACGTTTTATACTTACTGTTTTCAGTAATTCGCCAAAATGACCAACACAAAGGGAAAGAGGAGAGGTACTCGCTATATGTTCTCTAGGCCTTTTAGAAAACATGGTAAGTAGATACTTCCTTCTTGAGAGCAAACATAGTATATATTCATATAATGTGTTTTTAATAAATGGTGTTAATTAACCAGCATCTACCTAACTTGTTCTTTGTAGTAAATAAAAAGCATAAATTTCATATAGTTGTTTTTTGTCAACAAGATTTTAAAAATACAGCTGTTGGGGCGCCTGGGTGGTGCAGTTGGTTAAGCGTCCGACTTCAGCGAGGTCACGATCTCGCGGTCCAGGAGTTCGAGCCCCGCGTCAGGCTCTGGGCTGATGGCTCGGAGCCTGGAGCCTGTTTCCGATTCTGTGTCTCCCTCTCTCTCTGCCCCTCCCCCCGTTCATGCTCTTGTCTCTCTCTGTCCCAAAAATAAATAAACGTTGAAAAAAAAATTAAAAAAAAAATACAACTGTCAAAGATGAGAGTATGTTGAAAGCTAGTAAGCTTACGTGTATTTTGTAGTCTGGACTTTTTAATCTTGATACTAACCATACTGATTTTTTGGGGGACAGGAGTTGTTCCTTTGGCAACATACATGCGAATCTACAAGAAAGGTGATATTGTGGACATCAAGGTAAATTCTAAAATTGGGTAAATAACCTACAGAACAACATTAGAAGCTAGAAAAGTGTAATACTGAAATTCAGATACTAGTGTATATTGTATTTGACCTGCTGGCTTTTTATTCTCCTAAATAGGGGGACATTTTTGGCCTAAATAAGAGCTCTTAAGTGTAGAATGGCTAATTTAACTTCCAGAAACCAGAGTTTTTAAAGGGCTATTCTTGAATCTGAAAACTTTACTACTTGTTTGTTAACAGGTAGTGGAAAAATCAGGTTTTTTAAGGTGGAAAGGAATAATACGTTAGTACAAAATTTAATTGTTGATGAAGATGGAGATTGCTGTTTTTTAAAAAACGGTGAAAGTTACGTTCTTTTGTGATGGGTATTTAAAAGAATCCTGGCGCTCCAGAGCTTGATGATGATTGTCTTTTTGATTGCTTAAAGCAATGTGAAAAACCCATTTCACCGGCTCTGAAAGCTCTGGAGTTGCCGTTTAAAAGAAAAATTCTAAGAGTATCTTAGTTACTTTACTAAGAGTCAGGATGTAAAAAGGGAAAGTTGCTGGCATAATTCTGACCTCCTTTTAACAGGGAATGGGCACTGTTCAAAAAGGAATGCCCCACAAATGTTACCACGGCAAAACTGGAAGAGTCTACAATGTTACCCAGCATGCTGTTGGCATTGTCGTAAACAAACAAGTTAAGTAAGTAATGTCTGGTTTCTTTCCAGCTGATTAGTATTCCCTCATACCCCCGTTTCACTTTGCCAATTGGACTTATGTCTTTATTGGTCATTCAAGTGGGGCAAAGGAAATATCCTTTCAAAACTCAAGCAAACTGGATGTTTGTCTTGTATCCTGTCAGAGGAAACAAATTGAACTAGACCTAATGAAAAATGTTCATTAGAACTTGATGTTAAGCAACTCTGATCTTCAGAGTATAAAAGGATGTGGAACACGGTGTAAACCTAGTTAGCGATTTGGTTTGCGTATTTAGTATTGTGAGGTCTGTCACCTCGTTAAAAGAAAGCTTACAAATGGGGGGTGTTTGCCTCAGCGCCTCTTCCAGTACGGTTAATAAATGATTGTAAGTTAGCTGTACCTTGCTGTTTAATCCTATTTGTTGGTAAAAGGTTCGTGGTTGATTTATTTTAAATGGATTGTGGTATTTTTGTTTGTTTTGGGGAGAGAGCACATGAGAGCAGGGGAGGGACTGAGAGAGAGGGAATCCCAGGCTCCACGCTGTCAGCACAGAGCGCAGTGTGGGGCTTGATCTCCCAAATCAGGATATCGTGGCCTGAGCTCAAATCAAGAGTGGGACACTTAACTGACTGAGCCACCCAGGTGCCCTTAATGTTTGTTTTTTCTTTTTTTTTTAATAAATGAAATTGGCAGAAGTGCTTTTGGACTTTGTTACATTTTTGCTGGAGCATTTATAGGGATTTCTGTTCTCCAGGGGCAAGATTCTTGCTAAGAGAATTAATGTACGTATCGAGCACATTAAGCACTCAAAGAGCCGAGACAGCTTCCTGAAGCGTGTGAAGGAAAATGATCAGAAAAAGAAGGAAGCCAAGGAGAAAGGTACTTGGGTTCAACTGAAGCGCCAGGTGAGTGCTTGGCAGATGGCTTCTTGGTATTGATCTTGGGAATTTTAAAACTTGCTCAGTGGTCATTTTCTTTTATATGAAAGTTAATGAATTGACTATGTTACTTTTTTTTTGGTTCCAGGGTACTTTGAAATTGATGATTGTAGTTTACATGATTGTTCCCTTGCCTTTTTTTTTTTTTAATAGCCTGCCCCACCCAGAGAAGCACACTTTGTGAGAACCAATGGAAAGGAGCCTGAGCTGTTGGAACCCATTCCCTATGAATTCATGGCGTGATAAATGTAAAAAAAATAAAAGACGTCAAGACCGTAAAAATA